GGCAAATATTTATTACGGCCCGTCATCAAGACAACTACGGACACTCTTTTTTGTAAAGAACGCCTGCTTCAGAATATCACTTCCCTGTCAGGAATGTTGGTATAAAAACGGAGAACCTAACCTCAATTTCTTTGAACCAACCAAGAAAATTCATTATCGATAATACAGGGCTCTGTTTCAGGGGGGGTCGGTAACTTCTTTAGCGCGGATAGCTCGCAATAAATTACTCCTTAGCTCAGATTCTGAGCTACGCCATAAAGCTACCAATTCCTCTTTATTTAAACGTTCCAAAGGAGATTCACCATTACGTGAATGACAAAATGGCGGTGGCGGTGGAGGAGGGATATCGTCAAAAACTTCATCGCAATCGTGAGATGATTCTTTACGATGACGGCGATGTTGCCTGTGACGATTAGGACTAACTGCTACAGATACATCTGGAATTGAAGATGAAGTTGCTATCGATGATTTTTCTTGAGGGATTAAATCTGTTCTGATTGGATGACTCTGATGCCTTCTTCTTGAAGGACTTCGAGACGAAGACGAAGACGAATCGTGTCTTTGAATTGGGACAAGAAATTCTTTGGTTGAAGACTGAGACGAGGAGGATGGTGATACTATTTGGTGTTGAGGAGTGTAAACAGTTTCTAAGCGAGGTTGGTGACTCTGACGTCGTCTGAACTGCTGTCTCTTTAAGGAGCTGTACGGACTGGGGGAAGATCCTGAGACATTTATATGCTCCTGGGAGATCGAGTCATGGTTTCTTGATGAAGCATTGTATGTTGTAGAGTAATTAGTCTTTTCAGGAGTCGAATCACAGCATGTGACGTTCACTTCGATTATCGACTCGTACGGCAATGTGAAGTCGGATCGTTTTAATTTCTGATGGTGCGTGACATTTCCTTCCGGTTCCGGCGAGGGTTTTATTTCATTTTCCTGAGATATTCCCCGGTTGTTGTCCAGACTTCGACTTCTCCCGGAGGTGGAATTCAGATCCCTATGTTGAACCGCATCGATTTGAATTCCAGTCGGGCTCGGAGTTCTTAACCTAGGCCGACTTTGCACTGCGTCTCTAGCATTTGTATCAGACCGCACTCTGCCCCTATATTTTGGAACTGTAGACAATTGAGACGCCGAATCTGAGGAACTAGGAAAACTTATATTTATTATCGATGGTATCGGACTTTTCGATCGAGATCTCGATAATTTTTGAGGCCTAGAACTAACATCGGTGCTACTTAAACTTCCTAGACGTGAACCAATCGTATTCAATCTCTCTTGAACTGAACTTACCTCAAGTCGTCGTCCACCCGTCTCGTATCTCGGGGAACTTACAATTGTGTTGCTGGAACTTCCAAATCTTGGGATATTTAAACTTGAACCACTGGCACGTGTATCTGGTGACCTTACATCGAGATGTGATCTGCCTTGCTGAAACCTTACGTCGACATTGCTACATATTCTTGAGTTTATGTCAGGTGGACTGTTACAACCTCCCGAATCCTTACTAAGACGTCTTCCAACGGCACTAGAAGGACATTCCAATCTCGATCTTAAAGGACTGAAGATCATATCAGTGCTGAATCTCCTACGAGTATTAGGACTTTTCGATCTAATTTTTCTATCGCTACCAGGACTAAAAACGTCTTTATACAACTTCCGAGCTTCCGTATAAGGACTCTTTGATCTTCCAAATCTTCTTGGGGAAGATTTGCTAAGGGAAATCTTATGTCCCATTGAAGGACTTAAGAGGTTTTTGCTGGACCTGCGTTCTGGTTTCAGGAGAGTTCCGGGAGACTCCGGTTCTAATTCCGGTTC